GCCAGCCTCTGCGCCAGGGCGGCCGCCTGCTCCTTCGCGCCCGCGCATGCCGACTCGCTCTCCTCCAGCCGCGCCCGCAGCGCTCCTTCCGCCTCGGCCACCGCCCCGAGCCTCTCCTGCTCGTGCCCGAGCCTCTCCCGCAGCAGCGCCTCTCGAGCCTCGGACAGCTGCACCGTCAAGGAGGCGCCGCCCGCGCCGGCAGCGCTGCTGCCGGCAGCGCCGCTGCCCGCAGCGCCGCCTGCGCCGGCCTCGCCGAGCGCCTCAGCGAGGGCGGAGGTTTGCTCGTCGGCCAGCGAGCGGAGCACGGTGGCCTCCACTCGTAGCCGTGCGGCCTCGCGCTTCGTCGCCTCGACTTGCCGCGCCGCCTCCGCCGCGCGCTGCGAGAGGGCGGCGTTGGCCTCGAGAACAGAGTCGAGGCGCGAGGAGCGCTCCTGGTACACTGGCAGCGCGGCCTGCACCCGGTCGGCCAGCCGGCTGAGCTGCGCCTCGGCGGCGTCGGCGCGCGCACGCTCTTCGCGCACGAGCGCCTCGGCGTCGTGGTACATGGCGTAGACCGCGGTCTGGCTGAGCAGGCCCGCGCCTTGGGCCGCTCCTCCGCCGCTGCCCACGGGCGTGACGCCCGTGCGGGCGCGCTTCGGCGAGGGCGGGCCCTCGCCCTCCCGCGCTGTGCTCTTCGTGTTCAGCCGCTGGAGCAGAGAGCCCACCTCGGCCCGGAGCCGCATCCGCTCCTGCTGAGAGCCGCCCACCTCGCGCCTCCAGCGCGCCTCGGACTCGCGCAGCGCGGCCTTCGCAGCGCGGGCCTCGCCCTCCGCCGCCACCAGCCGGACGCGGAGCTCGCCCTCCGCCGCCATCAGCAGCGGCGCAGGCGGCGCAGGCGTCGACACGACGGCCAGCATTGTCGAGCGATTTAGCGAGCGATGAGTGAGTAGAGCTCTACTACTTTTACGGAAGTGTGAACAGGTTGGAGCAGCAGCTCCTGAGCACGGCGCCGCAGGCGCCTGTTGATAGGTCCAGGTGATAGCCCTGGATGGGCAATGCATACGCCTCACTGGGCCTTAGATCGCCCGACCGCGTCCCGGTGCTCTGTGGTCGGATTTGTGACGCCGCCGCACCGCGCCGCGGCCGGGGGCCCTCCGGAGGCCGAGGATGGCCGTGGCGGACCAGGACGAGCTCTGGGAGGTGAAGTGTCGGTGAGTATATTGTAGAGACAGACCATGTGCACAATACCTCTCACTCTAGCTAAGCCAGGGGAGGCGATGCCGGGGCCGTACAGCAGCTTGACGGTGCTTCGCCGGCGTGCGTCCCGGAGCGGTGCCGGACGGGCGGTCCGTGGGAGAAAACTCAGGACAACGCCGACGCCGCTCTGATTCGACTTTCAACTTCAAACAAAGACAGTGGCACGCGCCGCAGCGCGGTGCATGCCACTGTCAGGAGCGGATCCGTCAGTTAGTTGTGTTCACGGATCACGCC